CTATCTCAAACAAGATATTAAAAAAAAAACACAACACAACCCCCAAAACCGCCCCACACCCAAACAACCCACCAAAAACCCCAAACACTTAAAAACCAAGTACAGTGTAGGACAAATGGCATCTGCTGCAGGCAAAACACCCATGACAGAAGGAATGCAAATAATATGAAGGGGCTTTGAGGTGATGTTATGAATTTGAATGCTTTTCTGTGGTAGGCAGTATGAAATGAGAAGTAACCCCCAAACGCATGCGCATATTCCCTATTTTAAACTGCAAGTAAATGCAGATACCTATATTGTGAATACTGCAGTCTTTGAGTCTGTGTAGTGTAACAAATTACGCAGAAGTAAATTATACAAATGTGCTACAGGTAACACTAGAAGATGTTTTGAACTTTGTGTGGAGAATGGAGATTAGATTGATAACTGTTGACCTGAGAATTTACCTGCTGTAGTCTGAGAGTCTAAAGATAAGTCAGCAGTTATATAAGTTAATTCAAACCAGTTCTCATAGAACAATCGTTCATGCACTGTTTTGCTTGATCTCCTTAGTTGGCGACTCTTTTAAGCCCAGTGCCTCTGAATCCAGTAAATCTGCAAACTTCTACATCATTAAATGGACCGTCACCAGCAGGTAATAAATACTGCAGACCACCTAACTTTCATGGAGATGTATTTTTCTTGTTAGAACTTAAGGGCTTTACATAATGGCTGTTAAAGACTAGAGGCAGCAACAAATATTCCCAAAATCTTATACTGCTCATGGCTTCTCTTAGGCATGTCTGTCCATTTTAGCATTTAAAGCAACTAGATACATAGGAGATAATCTGCTCCTTTCAGGAAGATACAAAAAAGTAACATGCAGTAAGCAAGCTTTTCATTTACATTTAAATCTGGCTTTATCTGCCTGTCTTTATTCTCCAGCTGCATCAAAGAACAAGTCACAATCACCTCATTACTACGAGATAATGGAATTTGATCCCTTGGCTCCCACTGAGTAAGTAACTTTTAAAATAGATAATATACGGTTTAGGTGTCAAAGGCAAGAAGGCTTCTGAGTTGGCTTTTTCTTCTGAGTGACAAAACAGATCACACTGTTTAGACTTGAGCAAGCTGACAAACTGGATCGCTAAATTAAATGAGAGTGGCTGCATTTTGTACATCTTCCAATATTTCTGGCATAACCAATTAAGGAATAAACTCCTATAGTGTGTTGATTGAACAGCATCTGTAAAAATGGTGGAGTAATGCTGCATCAAAAACGATCTACTAAAATCTTATCCAGTGATATGAAAAGCTGATAAGGGTCCTGGTAGAGGAAGCTCATTGACACTTCAACACAGGTAGTTCTGGAACAAGGTAACCACAGTAATTCCTGTTCAGAGCAATCGTGATTTTTAAGAATGTTGTTCTACTGCATATCAAGAAAATCCTCAATTTAAATATAAGCTACAAAAGGGAATGGATGCTGGGGCTCTTTAGAGGGCCAAATAGTCAGATAGAAAGTAATACGAAACTAAACAGATGACAGAACTCTCCTTTCTACCAGTAATTGCAAAAAAATTTGAACTGTCTACACAAAACTAACTTCTGAGGAACCATCAAATTCTGAGGTAGAAAAATCTCAACAAAACTTTTTTTTTTTTTTTTAAACTAGCGCAGAAATTGCATGCCACGTGATTACGCTTGCCATCTGTGTTTTGCAGTCCTGTTCCCAAACTTACTTCATCAAAAGTGACAATGTCCAGAGGTATCTCATTAAATGTATAATCACAGACGCACCACAGGACTGGCTCTTTGTTTCCATGGAACCCTGGGCATCCTGCAATTGATGCTACTCCATTAGGCAAACACTATAAACTCTTGGCAGTTCATGCTTGGGCAGGATTTCATGGGTATATTTTGTCAAAATGAAACAACTGTGATGTAGGATTTGCCCTGTTCCTCCTCTTTCAGAGCTATTTATGAAGAAATTGATGTTGTGCTGAAGACAGAAGTTAAAAATAATACAGAGTGCTGAAGCTGGAGGTGAAGTCTTCTGCTGAACACACGTTATTCTCTGATGCTGGTCCTGTGCTGTGCTTCCAATAATGTACAAGTGAATAACAGAACAGGTTTTGTATTTTGACACAACAAACAATAAGTATTGGAATACTAAGCTGGGTGGAAGTTGAAGCATTACTTGGATCTACACCTTGATAATTTGTCCTAAATGTTCAACTGTGTACTCTTCAAGGTAACTTGCATGATAATTTTTAAAGTATTTTAGGGGCCTTTAAAATATTATTTTCAAATTCACCTGCATATGAAGTAACACTTGACATCTGACACAGGTAAACAAAAAGGACTATAGAAGAAAGGTTTTCTTTCAAGTTAACTGTTCCTTTGTATTGCTTTACCCCTTTATGCAGCAAACAAAACTGAACGTTATGTTTACAGAAACTGCAGAATCCAGTTTCTATTTTGGCCTCATTGCTGTCTGTGTTAATCTCCCTGGGAATTTATTAAGGGGGTTTTGATATGTAGGACTTTTCTAAAATTGGGCCTCTTGATAGATGCCTGAAGACATGCAGTGTTACTTTCCTACATTCATATTATGAATACAGATTTAGTTTTCTTTCTAAAAGCCTGCAATATAATTGGATTTTTGTCTTGGTAAAAAACGGAGCTGGGCCATGAGGTGCTGTCATCCATGATTAACAGAACAGAAAAAAAACCCTGCTTGTTCCTATGTTGTTGTTGCTTTTCTTTACTGAGTAAATATTGGAGGGGGATCAATCATTTCTTTCAATGTTCCTGCCCTGCAGAGATTGTTGTTCTGGTGAAGGAAAAAATAATCATCTACAATGCAGATGAGCAATAGTTATCCATTTATTTTAATCAAGTTGTTTAACCCTGTTAATAACAGTTTTATCTTTTAATAATTAAAGTGCCTTATCTATTTTAATGCTGAATGTAAAATGTGCACTTTAACAGGTATAGTTCTCTGAATTTATAATTGATATAAAATTTGAGAACTTAGTTCATGTTCATAGCTGATAAGCTAATTTTCTGTGAAATACTGCATTTTAAATGTTCGTTATGTTAACTGTTTAAGTTCTCAGTCTGTTTTGCAATTTTTGTAGCATAAAATTCCAAATAAAAGCAAATGCTTACTGAGAAGTTAACCCTCATCACTTCTGAGTTTTTAACCAGATAACGTGCGTATTCCATGAAATACCAAATGTAGATAGCATTGGAAGTATTTTAGTGTGAATCCCGGGGGTTTCATTGTAGTTAGCAATTTTGCAGTTTGCTGTGTGACCATTAGAACACCTTACTTCCATCAAAACAACAACCTTGAAGAAGTTTGGGGGCTTTTGTAAGCACAGATGAAAACGTAAGCTGCTTTATTCTTAATTTTTCTTGCATTATTTGCAATGGTCTGGACAGCAGCCTGAGAATACTGCTGAAAATAGGATTTGAGGTAGATGATTGATTTTTTTCCCTACAGCTTAATTGTATTGGTAAAACCCTAGCACGCTGAAGTGTAATAAATTAAAATAGGCTATTTCAGTATGGTAATCCATAATGGATGATTGCTAACTGAACTTTTCCATATTTAAAAGAAGCAAAATGGTCACAGATGAAAGGGAACCGGCTAATTACTGAGATTAGAGAGCTTGTTTTAGTTGGCAAGTGCTCAGCCTCTGTGCAAAGTTCAGCTTTCAAACTTGGGGGGGGAAACCCCCCCATTTTTATGAAACTGGGACTTGCCAGGGGGATATTCCTTTTTTTCTGAAGCACATGGCCACAATAAAGCAATGTGTGGAAAACTCCCATCATCAGTTGAACTTTCAAAAAGACAAGGGACTAAAGACAACCCAGGTAATATTTTTTTTTTTTCCTAGCCTGGATTCAAAGATTTGTCTTGATTTCTGCCTCCCCCCGCCCCCACAGCATAACTGGAATGATAAAGCTTGCTGCTAGCTTCATACAGATGTATTTCACTTCTGTGGGCTCTACATGTTTTGCTGGGTAAATTGCATTCGAGAGATGAAAAGTTTTAAAACTTTAATAAATACACAGTGAAGACCTGACATGTCATCCAGAATCTGTTTAAACAACACATATAATTGGTACAGTAATGCATTTTAAAGGTAGCACCCATTTATTTTCAAAAAAGCACTTTTAAAATTATTGTATGCAAACACAATTGAGCCTGAAGTAACTGGAAGTTATTTCTGATATACCCATTACCTTTTTAAGAGTTCAAACAAACCAACATTAGTCTTACTTTGTTAGATCTCATCTGCTGAAAGGGGTAGAAAGAACTGGCCTAGCAGATGAGATACTGGGCTGAGATTAATTCCTGTCTGCAAATGAGTAGGTCACTTACTTAAACTTGCTCTGCAACTCACTCCTCATTTGCAAAGCTATGATAAAATGTTATTATGCCTACCCCACAGATAATGACCAAAAGTTACATAAATACAGGCTTACGTGTTCTGATGGTAAACAGTACCTCTGAACAACTGCTGTGCTGCTGGGCAGGCTTTGTCAGACTTAAGCTCTGAATGGAGTTGATTTTCCTTTTGGCTCTTGAGGAGACTCCTTTGCTATTAATTTAGCCTGCAATTCAGGGCAGTTGTTTACATACTGCCTTTCCCTTCAGAGCATTTCATACACGAGCCGAGCTTGTCTCTGTGTAGAGATGCCCACTGTACAGCCCTCTCAGAGTGAAAGAGCAGTCATTAGCAGTACAGATATTTGAAATGAGTTGAACACAACATCAAAATTTGAATACGGTATTTCAAAATGGACACCATACCACACATTTGATGTGCTTACATTTAAATTACTGTTCCTCATTCAAATGATAACAGTTTTAGAGCAGTCTGCTCTTACCAAACAAACTACTGATTCAGTAATAATTCGAGAGGGTGCATCATCTTCTGAATCATCATGTCCTCCTGTGCCATGTGAGGGTTACATAGCAATACAGTCTAACTTTGTTTAGTTTTTGAGATTTTGTGAACCGATTACCTGGTAGTTTTTACCTTTTTATAAAGGTAACTTTCATGGAAGTTATTCTTCAGAGCCAGCAATGCAATTTTAGATGCTTAATAAAGTGATTTTTTCCTCTGTATTTAAATGCAGATCTCAGTTTACACTTGGGTTTAAAAATTTGCCTCACAGTGTTCAGTTAACATGTATCATCTTACAAAAAGATGGCTTGAGAAAACCCTCTCCCCTCCAGGAACAGCACATTCCCTTCTATTGTCTGATGAAAAAATACTATCCCTAAGAAATAATATTCCAACTACATAAGTTGTGGGTTTGGGTGGGTTTTTTTTAAATAGAAATACATCCTTTTGTAACAGCAGCATGTGCCCATGGTGGTTTAATGATATAATTTTGTATTGCACAGTACTCCTGCAGTTTTTCCTTCTGCTGAAAAATGGTTTCAAAACTGGTAGTCAGGTAGCAGAAGTCAGATTGTGCAGCGATTGCCCATTACTGATATCCAGGAAGTGCTAACTTCTGTCCTTCCTTTGCTTCAAAAAAGGTGTAAGAGAGAGTGATTAAGTCAACTTTAGCCATTTTAGGGTCCTCTGCAAATTCTGGATCAATGTAGAAAAAGACAGGCATGTCCACTTCCTCTTGAGGATTTAACCGCTGTTCTTCAAAACAGAAACACTGCATGGGGGAAGGAAAACAAAAAAAAACAACAACAATTAGACAACAGTAGCTATGGTAAACTTTGTCTCTGCCAACATGACAGAAAGCTTCATCTTTTAAAATGAACTCTCATTCTCTGTACATTCCTAGAATCCTGGGAAGGATCAACCATATGAGCAACAAGACAGCAATTCTGTTTCTCTTGTGTTACAGGAAAAAAAAAATTAGCTCTTAATGAAGTGTCCAAACATGCAAATTGGCCAGGCTAGCTCATCTCGTTACCACTTGCCCTCAAAGTCAGTGGTACTAAATATCATTAATTTGGGAGCCATTCTAATTGGACATGTACTGCAGCTTGTTATGAAGACAGTAAGGCTAAGAATGAACTGATGCACTGTCATTTGAAAAAATCAAGGTATTTTCTTAAAAAGTTGGCATACAAAGAATGGTATCCAGGATTAAAATGAGAAAAAAGTTAGTGTATGGATAACGATTCTCATTCATGTAAAGAAAAATGCAGTCTTTGCTTTGTTCACACTTACTTGTATTTTATTGAAATACTGTCCTGCTTCAAAGGGTATTACGTTGTAGGTAGAGATTCCAATTATTGGTTTGTCAGTAGGATTTTTCGCTTTATAAAATGCCAATGCAGTCTCTCCTGGTACCACCTGTATAAAGTAATTGCATGGTCATTTTTAATCCACTGCATCCCTCAGAGTTCTTCAGACTTTAGCTAGAATTAGTTCATTTTCTCTTTTGCTGTTTCAAGTTGGTTACTTGACAAATATTTTGCTTATAGACAATTCACCCCCATTCAAAATTAAAAGCATCAATAATGTTATACGTGTGCATTTTTAACCTTAACCAGTTTGCCACTGAAGACTTCTATTATTTGCAGCAGTTTAGCAGCATACAGAGCTCTTCTAATATGCAGGTTTATATATGGTGTACACTTAATTTTTGAGGTTATAATTCTTTCAGTACTGGACTCGGAAACCAATGACTCCTGAGTGTTTTTATTAAGAACTAATTTTAAACAGCAAAGTTAGATTAAAATGTTCATTTTTTTAAAATATAGAAACAGCTCTACAACGGTAGGGGCAAGAAGAGAAAGCACTAGGGGGGAAGTCTGGCGAAACCCCACAGGTATATATAAACATACTTTTGATGGCAATCCAATTTTGGTAGCTTGATGGGATGGCAGGGGATCAACTATATTTTAACTACACCCCAAGAGGCAATAAACATTCTGACCTCTGGCAGAAGGAGACATCAGCCCTGCCTTCCTGACCTGCACCGAAAATTAAACTCTTGACGCGGAAGGACTGAGGGAGCGCACTGGCCTAACGTGCCCTCAGTTGTGTGTTCTTCCAGACCGGGGCCCAAATACGCAAACCAATGGATCTGCGCCATCAGGATGCGAGGTGTGACAAAAAACGCAGGAGGCGAAACCCGACGCCTTCACCTCCAGGTGCGAGCGGTGCTGTGCCAGGGCACAAACGAAGTCACTCACGTAGATTTCGCTCTGCTGGGGTCTGAAGTTCCACTGGATGCTGGAATGCACGTCCGCGTTGAAAGTGACCCTGATGACCCGGTCCCGCACCGGCTCCATGCTCTCGATCTGCTCCGAGCTGTGGCCCGCGGCCGTCGTTCCGCCCAGGCCCGTGGCCTGACAGAAAGGAAAGGCGGTGAGCGACCCGCGCCGGCCCCTCGCCCCCCGACCCCGTCGCCCTTCGCGGGCGGGAAGGGGCTGGCAGCCACGGCGGCCTCCCGCGTACCTGGCAGTAGAGGCGGTAGAGCGGCACGGCCGCGTAGGACATGCCCACCATCCCCACGGCGGCGGCGGCGATGTAGGCCAGCGCCGACCGGTTCCGGCGCCGCCATTCCTCCTCCTGCCTGCGGGTGAAGGGGTTGGAGCTCCTCAGCCCGCGGACGCCCCGCGGGGCCGGCACCCCGCCGCCCGCCGCCGCCGCCGCCCAGAGGCCGTACCGAGCCGTCCCCTCCGCCCGCGGGGGCTCCCATCCGCCGGTACGGCACGGCCGGGGAAAGGCCCGGCCCAACGCCAGGCCCCAGAGAACGCCCGGGCCCCCGCAGCGGGCCCAAGCCCGCCCGCACAGCCCCATACCCGGCACGGCTGCCGGTCCCGGGCGGGGCGGGCGGCGGAGCGCCGCTCTTCTCGCGAGATGGCGGCGGGGTGGGTCCGCGCTCCCATCGCTCCGCCGCCTTCCCCGCCCAGCGGCGGGGGGCGCGGGGGGCTGCCTGCTTCTCCCCTCGCCTCCCTTGGCTTGGCCCGGCCTGGCCTGGCCTCGCCGGCTGCCCGACGCCCCTTCGGCGGTGTGAGGGGCTGCCGCTCCGCGTCCGCCTTCCCGAGGAGGCGGTGGGGCTTGCGCCGCGGGGGCGGGGGAGCGGGGCGGGCCGCCATCGCGCCGCTGAGGGGAGGGAGCGCGGCCGCTGAGGGGGGTCCCTCAGAGCGGCGCTGAGGCGCGGGGCGAGGGGGGGGACGGTTCCCGCCGGTTGTCTCTCCCTCCCCCGCGAGACCGCTGAGGGCGGTGGTTTGCGTGTGGAGGTAACTGTCGCAGCCCGTGAGGTCGGCGGGTTGTAGCCCCGGGCTCTGCCGGGGACGCTGCCGGGGCTGGTGGCCTCTGCGCCGCCGTTGCACCGAGCAGGCTTTGTCCGGGACCACCGGAAAGTCTGCGAGCAGCGGGTTAACCGAGCGAAGCCGAGGTGGGGGTGGGGGTGGGGGGGAG